TATTGTGCCTATCCAACTCATTTAATAATAAAAGTTTTAGTACCAGTCCTCTTAATAGCTGCTAGTGGTAGTGAGTCTCAATGTGTATTCAGTTACAGTTAGTGTAATTCTTAATTTGTAATCAATATCATCAAATCTTGCAAGTTTCCAAGTGGCCTAAGTTTTGACCTCTGGTGTCCTGTCTATGTACATGGATATAGATCTTCTCAGTCTGACGTGCAATCTGTCTTCCTGTGAAAGGAAGTTTTGGAACAGTACCTCAAAATCCATGGCCTTAGCAGGTTTCTTTGCTGTTTCTCAATCTGTAAGGGATCTATATTCAACTGTGTCTTTGGGTGGGCATGGGATTCCTTGTGGAATAATGCTTTGGTGAATGAAAGCAAAATATAGCCTAGGTGCTGTCTATGAAGAAGTAGAAGAGTGAGGACTGTGCAGCAGGTCCCTACAGCACCAGCAACAAAGACTTTTGAGGTATATACAGAGACTGACATAGGCCTCACTTGTATACTATTACAGCTACAGAACCAATATTTACATGCCACTTTTTCTCATATAGACAATCAGGTAGTAGGCACAGAGTACATCATATTCTTCGTAGAAGGCCATTAGGGGTTATTTACTTAAATGTGCCCATAAACTTCAAGCCTGGTTACATATGAGAAATGCTCCAAACCAGCCATGTATGTCACAGAAGGCAGCTGGACAGATGGACTTCACACTTCTGCGCCCCTGTATTACCGTAAGTGGGAAATCATAACTCTGTTGACAATGATGTGTTTCAACATCTTCTGATTTCAAGATGTTTATGGTGAGGGGAAAACCTGTCTCTGACCTAATAGCACTGAAACTTGAGGGGATTCCAGAGATGGGATAAGTAGCATTCTTGATGGAGTTAAGTTCAGTTTCTGTTGATACCATTGTAGATGGCACTGTCTTCACTGGAATAACAGTTGATGGTGACTCCCCTTGGCATTACAGACAGGATATCTGAAGACTTGTTCAGTACAACATCACCTCTGAAGGCTAAAACTAGACATAATACATGACAATGTACAAGGAAAGCATCTCTAAGTCACTTAGAATGATAGAAAGAATATTGTTATTTTCTCAATTTTACATTTAAACGGTAAGAAGTCAATATAATTCAGACTTCCAAGATAAATAAGGATATTAGATATTTAAGTAATACCTCTTCATTTCTAGTAGTCTAACTTTATGTCTATAGGGGTTTAAGTCCAACACCCTGTGGTGGTGACAGCATTTACCTACATTCTCTTTGTATATATTAATCATCTGAAAGAACAAAGACAGATAATATTATGTTGTTCAAAGCATCAGGGTGACTAGTTGAAAGAGGTGCTTGTGAAAATGATGGAAATTTCAAATAGTTTTAAATATTGATACAGCATATCAAGCTCCTTGGTCTCTATTCTGAACCCCCTTGTCTAGTATGTCCCCCTTGCTTGTCTTGTAATATGATAAAGTCTGTGGATGTGTTTCCAGATACAGGGTTGAACAGTAAGCATAATCTAATACAGTCATTTGCATTGCTGCATTCATGTGGAAATAACAAAATCTCATATGTTTGTTCTCAACTCACAGCTATATTGACTGCCTTACTAAATAATTCCTGAAATGTTTTTATTTGGCTGAATATGAAACATCAGTCCTTATAACACTACGGTAATATCATTACTTAGACATGAAAGACCCCCGAGGGGAGACCCTCACTCGGGTCTCTGAGAGGGTGTGGACCCAAAAATACTCCAGAGACCGTCTTGCTGCAATCACATAAGGCAGGTTTATTGTTGGAGCTCCAGGCCGATACTTGCCTCACGCAGGAGGTAGAGGAATCAACTCGAGGCCTAAAAGCTTAGGGTTAATATAGGCAAATTCCTGGGGGAGCAGGAGGTTGTGGTGCACCCACACACAATTGGTTGTTTCAAACATCCGCAGTTTGTGCCAGCAGATCCTGGGCAAGGGTTTGACTAATCTCACGGGAACAGTCCCTGGTCCCTGTGGCCTTGGGACCCAGGGTAGATGCTTTTCTGAGCCAACAGACCATCTGGCTGAATTCAATTCACACGTCTTTGGGACCTTTGGTGGGAGTTTTTCCAGAGGAGTCTAAGTCAAACATCATGGGAACAGATGGGTGATTCCTTATTGTTCTCATTCTCACAGAATTTATCTTTGAGCATCTTCCCTATCTCTTACAGCTGGCCAATTCCGGAAACACTCAATTGACTTTTATTTCTGCCTCTCTGCATCCTTTATGATGGCCGTAAGCTAGCGAGTTTGCTGACCTGAATTCTTAACTACTTGTATTTGTGAATTGAGGCTTTCTTCTATACTAACTTAAAATTTCTTCTTCAAGACACATTAATTGGATATATGAAATCAGAAACTCCAGAAGTTTGCATCGATGATAACGCATTCTCCAGAGTATAAAATGAAAGTGTTATAACCATTTATCAGTCTCTCCACTTGAGAAGATTTTTAGAGAACTAAACATCAAAATGCTTATCACCTTTAAGATAAAACTCTAGGTTTGCATTTGCATGTCTTGCCACTGAGAATGAAGCAGATGATGGGTAAGAATTTCTGAAGTGTTCAAGCAATACATGTTATCCTTCATCCATGTTATCAATTGATCTGTCATGAAGAGAAATACAATTAGTCAGCCTGAATCAGAAGAGGACATGTCACTGTGATAGTGATTCAAAAGCATTAACCTTGGCCCTTGTACCATAAGACATGCTAAAACATATTTTTTAAATTTGGAAAATACCAGAACGCTGTAAAAAAAAAACTTTAATACAGAATGACATCACAGGACATTAATATTCTAGAAAAAATGTATGTCATCATCTGCAACCACAAATAAAGAGTTCTTCACAACTCAAATATGGTTCCCAGATCATGAGGTCTTGCTAGACATATGTGTGACACCTTACCAGTATGTGTCTAATTCGCCAAACTGGAAATGCAGACTTGTGAAGATTTATAGTTCACTGGGGCATGACATTTTTAAACAGTAGTTATAGGATTGACCATAGCCGATGAAGCTCTTCTAAGGTCTTTCGACTGAAGTGAAGAGAATTCACACATTTTCCAGGCTTATATTTTGTTGTAGAATTCAAACATTAATCAATGTCTCAATTATTCATCTTAAGTTTAATGCCAAAAAATTATGTCAAAAGTTAAAATGCATAAATAATCCAGGTGTACTTCCACAGAAGAATACAAAAAGAATATATTATTTGAATATAAGATAAAATATTTTTCAGCATTAATTGCAAAGTGAATTGTGACACTTTAAATGAAAGAAGACATTACATTAACTGAAACAGAATTGTCACACATATAAATAAATACACATACAAACACACACACACACACATATATACAAAACACACACATATATATATACATATGTATGTATATATATGTGTGTGTGTGTGTATGCACACACACAAACACATGAAAAAAAATCCAAGTGCTGTTCATGCAATTGTTTCTATGAAAGAATATTTTATAATTATATCCACCACTAGAGCAAGATATTTATATACTTCTATAAAACATGTACTTTTAGACATATACATATGCTTATAACAGTATATTTAGTCAACAATATACCTACAAAATAGATAAATATTTCTGTATCTATAAATGTATATTCACAAAAACTAGGAAATGCAATCTGCTTAGACATCCATCAAATGAAGCATGGCTAATGAAAAAGTGAGACACATCCAAATGGAATTATATTTACCTTCAAAAAAGGTTGAAATGAGGAAATTTGCAAGAAAATGTGTGGAACTATCAGAAAAATATATACTGAGTGACAAAAAGCAATGTCATGTATTCACTCTCATAAGTGGATCCTAATGGTTACATTTGAATGATTTCTCTGGAGTCTGTAAAGTTTAAAAGTTAAAAAAAATATATGATGAGAAAGGAATTAAGAATAGAAATTAAGGAGAGGAGGAGACAGTGGTGTAGCCCTCAAATGAGGCTTAAAGAACTGCCACTTGGTTTTCAGACTCCTCTTTGATCATAAGGTGAAATTAAATTCAACTTTGTTGGCCCTATGGTAGCCGGTAACTATCTAATGTGGCTGACCAACTTCCTCCTCATTTATTTATTTTTGTTTGTTTGCCAAAACATAATGACTATTCCTAACCACAAAAGAAAAAATAATTCTGAATGATGAAAAATTTTAGCAAAATCTTAACACAGACATTTTTGGGTTTGTTGTTGTTGTCATTTTTGTTGTTGTTGTTTAGAGAATAGCTAAGAGGAATGCTTGGGGACACAGTCAGCTCCTGAGTCTACGCTCCCATCCTGTCCTGATAGATAAGGTTTTGCTGCCTAATTCAAGTAAATATCATGCTTTGTATGGACTCTTCTCCTGCTTTGGTTGTTGTTTTTGATTTTTAAACCCTAACTGTAGAATGTGTGTGATTGGAAAGTAGAGAGTGAGCATGCTACTGGCTGAAAAGTTTACACATGGATATGGCATCGAATAGGAAAGGAAAGGGTGTTGAAGAGTAAATAAAACTAAGAGTGTGTAACTACAAACACTACAGAAAACTTCTTTTATAATTCTAGGGTGAATAATGCTTCTACAGAGGTAACAGGATCCTAGTGTCATGTATAGGAATCATCCATATAACAAAGGACCCCAAACCACAAAACAATACAGGAAATACAATGAATAAATACAATACAGGCAAAACAATACAATGTCATTATTTTTTTAATTCACTGCCAGAAAAAGGTCACAAATCTCTATTGCTAAAGACACCATGCATTTTAGTAGAAAAAAATAGAGAAATAATCATGAAATTATACTGAAAGTTTACTGCTGTATTGCTAAGTTTCACTGTTCAAGAAGTTAGCCTTCAAACTCCCAGTGGATGAAGAAGATTATCGTATATATTGTTCAGCTGTGGACCTCATATCTGGCAATAATGACCATCTGTTTAGCAGGATGCTAATTGCAACAGTGAGCCCAATATTAGAGTTAACCTAAGAGATTATGATTAAACCTGTAATGTACTGAGAAAAAGCAGGCCAGAAAAAAAAACACTTTACAGGTAAAAGCATTTGATGAAAAATACAGAATCAATGGACATACTTCATGCAAATGGAAAAAAACAGAAGATAATAAACAGACACAATAGAATTTAAATCAAATGCTTAAAATGTGGCAAATGAAGCAATTATTAGTAAGTGAGAGAATTTGACAAAGAAATACTTCTCAGTTTCTTGTCTGCTTTACTGGATAATGTTGAGTAACAAAGAAAGACAAAAAGACAAGGCTTGTAGGAAAAAAATGGGTTTACACTATGTTTTACAACCAACAATGCTTGTTGCTGCCAGGCCACCTTTTCACTATTCTACTGAGGCAGAAGCAATATCATTGTTATTGTAGCCAATGAAGGCAAAAAGGATGACCAGTGAGCTGTAGCCAAGATGCACATGCTGACAGCTGCACCACATAATCTGCAGTTCCAAAACACTTCTCTCTCACACAGATAAGTTAACTTATTTGACAGCTGTGATACTCCAAGCAAGGACATTTTTGTTAGGGTCTGTATCACTGTGGGAGGTAAATGTGTACCTTGGAAGCAGTAATAAACTCCCAAATCCTCAGGCTCCACTCTGCTGATCTTGAGTGTGAAATCTGTCCCTGACCCACTGCCACTGAACCTGTCTGGGACCCCAGAAAATCTGTTGGAAACCTTGTAGATCAGGAGTTGTGGAGACTGGCCTGGCTTCTGCAGGTACCAATGCAAATAGGTATTTCCATTACTATGTACAAGGCTCTGACTAGACCTGCAAGAGATAGAGGCTTGATCTCCACGACTGACAGGCAGGGAAACAGGAGTTTGGGTCATCACAACATCACTGCTGGAAGCTGAAAAAAAAATAAGAGAAAAGTACAGAATCATGCACAAACTTCATGAACAATCTTATGACTTTTTAAATACATTTCAACTTAGATGTGTTTGTACATATAATTCTTTATATATTAAAATTCTCCATCCTAACAAAACAAGTTAAATAAAATCCCCAAGGTGCTTGTATACTTAATGTAGACTATCCCATCTATCCATGTCATAGTATTCATTGTAGCACAGATTCTCTCCCATCTGGAACCTCATTCTTGCAGATATACACCCAACAGGCCACATACTGGAGGATAATACCTGTCTACTCATACATGCCACAACACATGTAATGAGAAGTATGATCAAGTTCTCATGCTACTTCCCCATTCTCAATTCCTATTCTCACCAGGAATCCAGAACAACAGCACCAGCAGTCTACCAGGCAACTTCATTTTGAGGAGAAATCCTGGGAAGACTTTTCCATCACAGAAAGAAGGCAACTTACTCTTTTATCCAAAACTGGCATGGGCGGGTCCTCCTCGGCAAACAATATGCAAAGACCTGAGTTGGTGTTGCAATACAGATAGAGGGAAGTACCCTTACAGTTTCTTATGATTGCAAAAATACCACATACTCTTCTAGTTTCAGTGGGCACTAGTGCTCACAGATAAGCACTGGAGAAACTAGGAATATTAATCAAATAGGGATGTCTCCTCAATTGAAGAAATATACACTTGGTTTTCACCTAGAATACCGAGAATGGATGTTGTTAGTAAACTGATGACAGTTTTTATCTATAATTGCTCACCCAGATTCCCCTGAATTTTCTGTCACAGGCCTTCATCATTAGTTACCTTTCTCAATTGAATCCACACCTATGGGAGAAGGCACATGTACATGGCAAAAGAGTTTCAATGTAGTTGTGTCTTAGGTTTACTGTGCAAATAAAGCTGAAATAAAAGTTATCGTTTTCAAAGGTAATACTGTACTTAAATGTGTCTAAAATATACTGCCCTGATGTCAGACTTTAGACTTGTGAAATGCTCTCATCTATGTAATTCTTGTCCCAGTTTCTTTCTTGCCATACATGTTTGGTTTCTCTGCCAGCCATGGTACTTGCATTGACCTACACAGCTGGTACCAAACATGAGGACACAACCCTCATAGAAGATAACAAAATTCTCTTTAATTAGAAATTAAAATCTCAAGAAAATTAGGCCTCTTACTCAGAGGATTGATACTGAGACACAGTAGAAGTAATATGTGTTTTAATCAATCCATTGAGACAAAGCTTTTTGTACAATTGTTAGGATAGTTGTTAAGAATGAGAGGAAACTAATGATATAAAGAGTGTTCCAGAAAGACAAATCCCTGTCAATGACTTATTTTAAAAGGTAGGGGGACATTTTCTGCTACATAGATATTGTGAGGTTTTGGGAAGGCAGGCAGATTTGACTCTGGGTCTGCTCAGGCTTCCTGGTTCACAGGGATGTGCAGCTATCAGAGTTCACTCCTCATATATGTGCCTTGCATGGAGAAAGGCATGGGAAGAAGCCAGGAGTGGCAGCTTTTAAATACTCTTTCCAGCTTGTCTCTGACAGCTCATGAATGAACAACTCCCTGATTGTCTACATGGGCAAGGAATTGTGCCCATGTAATAAAGCTAATGTTCTGTGAAAGTTTTTGAGATGATGTCACAATAGTTGGATATTTATCTTCATGTACACTTTGTTAGTATTAGTAATAATATGTTATACAAATGGGGAAGTAGTTTAACAATAATTTATTAGTAACTTCTTTACAAAGGGCATTTTCATTTCTATTTGCAGGACAACTGCCACCTTCCCTAAATGGACAACACTTGGACAGATACCTTATTCTTCTATAGTATCATTTGCTGGTCCTTTTTGACTGTGGAACCCCAGTAACAGTAAGATACAAGCTCAGCAGAGCAGGCACTACAGCACCTAGCATACCTCTGAGGAACTCATCTCTCAGGTTCTCACAGTACCTATATAGTACCTGACCTAGTTCAACACACATTAATACTGAGAACTTATATTTTTTAATCCTCTCACCAGAAGTATTCTATCCCCAATTTTACCCAATCCTCAGCAGCATGGCCCAGGAGAGAAGTTTCTTCCTCATTATCTCACTAGTGATCCAATAGCATAGGCTGAACCTCAGACTTTTAAACCTCCCATTCTAAAAGTTCCCCATTTATACCCATGGAAAAAAGTCTGTGCTTGATTTAAATGCATAGGTTATGATGCCACCATCACTGTAGGTAGATTTGCCATGTACATAATGAGAAGTCAGTTAACTGTTCATCCTCAGAGACTGGCTTTTATCAGTGTCAACATGCTAAGATGCAATCGGCAGTGATCTACCCCAAGCCATTTTGATTTATCATGAAATTGAAAGTGGGCAACTCAGAGATCATATGAAACTCAAGAAGAAGGAAGACCAAACAAAAGTGTGGATGCTACAGTTCTACTCAGAAAGAGGAAAAAAAATAATTTTGAGAAGTAGACTTAAAGAGGGATCTTGGAAGGAGAGAAAAGAGGAAGGAAAATAGGGACTAGTACACATATAGGAGATCTTGAAGAAGTAGGGAGCATCAGGAATTTTGATGGAGGTATGTAGCAGTGGGGGAAGGGGAATTGGTGATACCCACCAGAAAGTTCCAGATGCCAAGAATCCAGAAGGTTTCTAGGACCCAACAGCAAGGATATTAGCTAAAATACCCAACAAAGGGGAAAGAGAACCTGTAAAGACCATATCCCGATGTCATGGTTTGAATACGCTTGGCCCAGGGTATGGTACTATTGGAGGAGTGGCCTTGTTGGAATGGATGTGTCACAGTAGTAATGGCCTTTAATACATTCACCCTAGCTGCCTGGAAGTCAGTTGTCCACTAGGAGCCTTCAGATGAAAGTATAGAATTCTCAGCTACTCTGGTACCATGGATGCCTGGATGCTGCTATGTTCCTACTCTGCAAAACCTAGGGATCTATCCCATATTCAGACACCAAACTCTGACACTATTGCTGATGTCAAGAAGTGCTTGTACATCTTGTACAAGCCTGATACAGCTTTCCTTGAGAAGTGCTACCAGAGCCTAACCAATAATGAAGAGGATGTGTAAAGCCAAACTTCAGACTGAGTGTGGGAACCTCAATACAGAAGTTCGGGCAAGGACTAAAGGAACTGAAGAGGTTGGCAACCCCATAGGAAAAAAAAACCAATATCAACCAGCCAGAACCCCCACAAGCTTCCAGAGCCTAAACCATCAATCAGAGTACACATAGGGATACACATGATTCCAGCTGGATATGTAAAAGACAGTTGCCTTTACTGGCATCAATGGGGGAGATTCCCTTGGTTCTGTGGTGGCTTGATCACCCAGAGTAGGGGAATAATGAGGTGCAGAGGGGGAAGTGTGTGGGCAGGTGAGGAAGCTCCCTCATATATGCCAGGGAGGGGAGAAAAGTTTGTGGAGGGGAAACTGGTTAGGGAGATAACATTTGAAATAACCAATTTAAAAAAAGAAAAAAAGAAAATGAAAATGTAGAAAATTTCTAATATCTAACTACATAAGATTCCTCCTCTCTTTTACTAAAACAGTCTCTGATCTATTCAACAATCATGTGATTTCTGTGTGGAAATGTGTATTAAATTACTATGATAAAAGCTAATTCACAGCATTTTATCATATTAATAGACATAATTAACTAGCATGATTAATTCTGAGTATATGCAAAATCTGAAAAAGCAGTTTACTTAAAATTTTAAACAGCTCAAACCGTCCCTTCTGTTCTGACCTGAATACTTACACCAAACTCAATCATCTAACAGTAAGTTAAAATCCAAACTATCTATCCCCTAGTAGTTAAATGTGAGTTCCCTTTCAGCAAGAGTATAATTTTACATTTCTCAAACAGACTATGATAAATCCCATCTAAAACATGTCTCTTTTAAGTTCTATAAATATTATGAAAAATATGTACTGGAACAACATGACTTCCAGATAGATGCATGTCAGATAGAGAATTATATGTGTTGCTTTCTTGTGAACTGTAACACCAGAGGAATCCAAACCTATGGACTACTAAGATTCCAGCATTCCTTGTAAAACTGGTATGTTGTGCATATCCTTTCTCACATTTGCAGGGCATGTGATTGGAATGAGAATAATTCTGTCTCTTTAATCTCTAAAGTATCATAATTTTAATTAATTAATTACTTTAATGCATTTGAGTGTTCTATCTGCATGTACACCTGCATGCCATAGGAGGGCATCAGATCACACTGTAGATGGTTATGAGTCACCATGATCTTGCGGAAGATTGAACCCAGGACCTCTGGAGGAGAAGAAAGTACTCTTATCCACCAAGCTATCTCCGTAGCCCCTAAAGTATCAGGTTTGGATGACACTGGAGATATATGAATTAAAGAAAACGCAAGTGACATAAACCCCCAAAGACTAGTTATTATTTAGAGATGATCTGAAGTTCTGCCTTCATCTATGCTACAGTTGGAGGAACTTAAGTGTGCACATAGATTCTGGCTTGGTCCAGGCAGGGGGAATATACAGGGGAAATTCTCTGGGTGAGTTTTCAAAATAGCATGAGCATTCTTCACTGAGTGGACAGATGCCAAGCCCCCTGACCCTTAATGATTTTTTGTATATGAATGCTGATTTTATGTAACTTTCTTCCAAGGTTCTTGAGCATACAATGCAAAGTCTGATGCTCAACTTTTCTTAAGTACATGGACATTTTTGAATGACTATTTCCTTTTAATTAACTCTCAAATTTGTTATGGAAACATAATTAATCTCAGGTGCTCATGTGTACTCTCCTGAGTAATTTAGAATGTGTGATTGGTCCACACTGTATTCTGACACTATTTCCCATAAACATCAAGTCACATTATTTATCTGGAATCTGACTTTGGACATCTCTCCTAACTCTGTATCTTCATTTATACCAGATCATATGTGTTTAAACCCAGGCACTCAATTTTATGATTCTTTGTCAGAAATATATACCAATTTCCATAGCGTTTATAATGTAATCCCAACTCCACTCACATTCTCACCAACTTCAGTGCTGGGCCCCATTCAATAGTAAATAATGACAGAATATCTGTCTACCCTGCTCTCACTTAACAAAACCTATCCAGGTATCTCATTCACTTTTTCCTAGAAACAAATCCACATTTTTTTTCCTATTTTCCACTAAAGATTTGGTGTGTAAGTCTGATTTCCATCTTAAATTTAGACTTGACTTTCATTTTACAATTCCATCTTGAAAATTTGAGATTTTTTTTTTTGCACTATTAGATTAACATCTTCTGGCAAAGGTATTCAGTCGTTTTTCTATAAACTTTTGTAACTTTTAAAAACTACAATTTCAAAACCACTTAGGAATTTGATAACCCAGTGATTTAACAGGACATTTGACCCT